AGCGGGAAAGCGGCAGGGCGGGGCGGCGCGGTTATTGGCCACGCGCTGGGAGCAGGGTCGCGCTCCGTGTCCTCCTCCCGACAGCTCCCACTCGCCTCATTTTCTCTAAGCAGAGCAACTTCGCTGACAGCGGAGCTCACCCAGCATGGATGTTCCAGGTAACCACCCCCGACCTGCCCTCCCCTCCGCGTGCAAGCGCCTTCTGCGTGGATTTTAACCAGGACTCTCGCTGGTCCAGATCGAGGGGTGGGGGAGGTGGAGAGAGAGAGAAGGGAAATAATGTAGGATCGGGGCTGCGGACAGCGATATTTATCAAGAGCCAACTTCTCCGTTCTTAGAAAGAATATTGGAAGAGTTAATGGGAGGCTGTGGGCGGCGAGGGGGCGGTTTCTCTGCGTGTCTCTGGGCTGGTATTGAAATGGCCGGTCTGCTTTCCTGGGAGGAGCGGGGACGGGGCAAAAGTGCAGATGGGCGCGTAAGTTCGCAGAAACCTGCAGGGGCTGCTGCCCAGCCAGAAAGAGAGAATCCCCTGGGTCTGGAAACAAGAGCTGGAGAATAAGCCAAGCCTGGGATTCCGTCGTTGGAATCGGTCCTTCCGCGGAGAGAGGAATCCCAGGGGTTTCACCAAGGGGGCTCGCTAGTGGCTGCAGGGACCTTGGAAGTGAGTGTTTGGTTTTACTGCCTGTGTGTGTGTGTGTGTGTGGGGGGGGGGGGTGTCATTTTTCCCCTGTTAATCTTATTCGCCCTAAGGAGATTCCTGGGGTTTGTTCTTCGGGTGGAAAATAGATAAAACCTGTACCAAAGGGACTTAAATGGACTTTAAAAACATCTCGAGTATTGAAAAATAGAGGATAGCAGGGAAACAAGGGAAAGGAAAAGGGTTCCTTGGTGCTGCTCCAAGGAAATGCCTTGAGATGAAGGCGAGAAGGCAAGCATTCGTAGGTTTTTCTTTGCCTACGTCTTAGCCCCCTCCGCGCTGGTAAATGGGCGGGGTGGCGGTGACGCCTTCTGAGGGTCTCGGGGCCCCTCTTAGCGACGAGGACCTGCACAAGCGCGGCCCCCTCCCTCGTCGCAGGCCCGCGCGCCGCTCGGGAGCCT